CCTAGAGCAAAATTTTGTGTAGAACAATTTTGCTTAGTAGCCTAAAAGTTGTTTGCTTAATAAAATATTTAGTTATGGCAAAATGTTTTTTGGGAGTTTGGGTACAAGTGATCTATGGTAAGAGTTACGCCTAAATAGACTCTTATATAAATTTTTTTACAATTAAATTTTTATAAAAATACTTAACAAAATAACTGATTTTGAATTTACTTACTTAGAGGAATTAGATGATTCAGAAGAATATGAAGATGCTTTCATTATCGATCTAATATTTCTTGAAAATACACAAGCTTTATTACATGATAATAAAAGTGAAGAAATTAATTTAAATGAGATTGAGTCTAAAAATTCTGATTTCTATAAAAAAACTTCTCAAGAATAGATAATGAAAATAGATGTAGAAATCAAAGAGAATTCTATGCAAATTCTAAATTTAATATCATGTGCAATTATAGATAATATTCAAGGCAAGATAAAGTGCTGCAATAGCACTAAAAACTTATAAAGATTGTGACAAATAATAGAAACATAAGAAATAGATACATAAGTAGTCAAAAAGTACTGCAATAGTACAACAAAATTATAGCAATAGTGACAAATAATTAGAAATGTTTATGATCTTTTCTGACTTAGTATATGCTATACTCATTTTCTATTTGATCAGAACTAACTTCATGATCTAGATATGAAATAATTATGTTCAATTGACAAAAGCATCATTTATTTTCAGATTTGCTTTTTCTGTAATAAAAAAAAAAAGCTTCTTTAGCTATAGTAACTATTGTACCAAACATTCATAGAATGTTAATAAAAAAAATATTCAAGTACTTTGTATTAGTGTTTTTAACTATTTAGTATTTTCTGAAAAATATATTACAAAAAAGTCATTTTCTAGTTATTGTGTATATTACATCTGCTCAGAATGCTTTTAACAAAATAGTAAATATCTGTATAAAAGATCTGATAAAAGCAAAGAAGTTATATTATGCACTAAGTATAGAAAATATCAAAATAATATAAGTGATACTTTAAAGCTTATTGGAAAATAGATAATATTAGTAGCAGAGTCAAGTAATTATAAACTATAAGAAAGACTTTTATCTCAAATATTCTCAGTATTAGATATTTTTAATAATGAAATAATAGATAAAAATTCAAAATCAGATACATCAAAATCTGATATATCAATTTCAAATATATCAATTTTGAATATATCAATTTTGAATATATTAATATTAGATACTTCAATTTCAGAAGCATCAATATCAGATGCATCAAATTCAGATGCATCAAATTTAGATGTATCAAAATTGAATACATCAAAACCTCCAAGAAAGTTGCTTATTAAAATGGCAATGAAAATAAAAAAAGTTAAAATGAATAGGTTAACTATAGAAAAACTTCATATAATTTTGAAAAAGGCTTTAGCAATAGAAGAAAAAATAGAAAAAAAAATTTTTTTTTTTTTTTTTTTGTTGTTTAAGGCGGCTTACATTGCCGACGGGATTTTATTAGTATTTGCATACAGAATTATACATTGATAATCCCTACT